AAAGGAAAGGAAGTTGGGTTGGTTTTTAGGTGACACGTGTGTGTGGTGTGAGTTAGGATGTGTGACATGTGTTTAAAAAAAAATGAAAGAAAAGAAAAGAAGAAAGAAGGAAGAAAAGAAAGGAGTACAGAGAGAGAACGAAAAAGAAAAAGAAAAGAAACAGAGAAGGAAGGGAACGAAAGAAGGAAAAGCAAAACGAAGGAAAAAAAAGAATGGTTTGCTTTCTCATGGTTTTGAAGGTTGGGGAGAGGGGGAAAATTCATGTGCTTGAGAGCTAAGACTTGGGTTTCAAATTTGATAAGTATTCTAAGTTTGTGATTAAGGAAGTTTTGGGAAATAAACAAGGGAGGAATTAGATGTTGAAGTGTCTTTGTGGGTCTTTTTCTCTTTGAAGTTGTGTGTTTGCAACTCCCCTAATCGTTTGAAGAGGATAAAATTCTACTTCGTGGGTTTTCTTTAGGTTTATTGTGTGAAATTAATGACTGTAAATGGGTAACAAAAATGGACAAAGATGAGAGGGTTTGAAGATGGAGAAGAAGGGTAGAGAAATAGAGAGGAATTAAGTGTTAATCTTTGATCTTTTGGGTACAAATTAAGGGAAAACGTGTGGGCTAGAAGAAATTGCAGAAAATAAAAAGAATGGAAGGAAATTTGAGAATTTAGGGAGGAAGAAGAAGAATCCGTGAGTTTGGTTGGAGAAGAGAGAAGAAGAAGAAGGGGAAGAAGATGATGAATAGTAGAGGAGAGAGAGAATGATTTTAAATTAAATAAAAGAAAAAAAAAGAAAATGTTGCAAAATTGGGCTTTTTGTGTGAAATGGAGTGGGAGAAAGAGAAATTTAATGGGTTTGGTGGGACCCACTTGTAAGAAGAAAAAAGTAGTGAGTTTTTAATGAAGAGAGAGAATCGGGAATTTGGGTAATTGGGTTATTTTGAAGTTATTGTGATTAAAGTTTGAATTAAGTKATGTTGAAAWTGGAATTAAGTGAAATAATTTGGTATTAAATCGATATTTCAGGTCAAGTGGAAATTGGTACRGCGTACAACTCCCTTAAAGGATTTGTGAGTGGTTATTTTATTAAACGTTTTTGGATATTATTATTGATATGTGAGTGGTTACTTACTAAATGTTTTGGATAGTATTATTGGAATTTGTGAGTGGTTTATTTTGGAAATGTTTTTAGAAGTATATCATGATAGAATTTCAAGAAAGTACATATATTATGTATGATTTAGCATTTCTGCTGAGAATGGAAGAAAATGTGTTAGAAAGAATTATTTTAGAAATGTTTATTAGAATTGAGAAGTGCTTTATAATTTAGAGAAATGTTCGAGAAAGTTATGAAATGYTATTTAGAAAGAGATTTCAGAAAATAATATTAGAATTTCATGAAATGTTTTTAGAAAGAAAGGTTTTAGAAATGATTTGAGAAAGAAAGAAATGTTCCTAGAAAGAAGAAAGAAAGAATTTTAGAACGGTTTATGAGATTGAGAAACAAGTTTTCAAACCACCATGTTATTTTATGATTACCCGTATGCTATATGAATGTGTTCTATAGTAGACCCAGAAATAGAAGGTCTTTGGGACCATTTTACTCCACGTGTTGAGAGAATTATTCTRCTGTGTATATTGAGATTACTCTATGCCAGTAGACCAGAAATAGAATTATTCTGCTATGTGTATTGAGATTACTCTGCGCCAGTAGACCAGAATAGAATGTGGATACATGTGTGGTGTTGAATTTTCTGAACYTATTTTATGGTTGAAGTAAGATGTTTTATATGTTATTAGAAAGTGATTCTATAAAGTGGTTTCCTAGTTCTGTTTTATGTATCAGAAGAACGATTTACAAATTCATTTAAAAAATGCGTGTTGTTACACGTTTAGTATGAGAAAGTCTTTATGAGTTTTAGTTTCTCAAGTTTTATGAGATTTAA